AACTTGCAGCATGAGTATGTCTTCAATCATTCAAATGAAGGAGTAAACCAGAATAAGTCTGAGTAAACACAATAGGATAACCAGCAATCCATGTAATCTGAGGAGGCTTATCATAAATACTTGATGCCTGCCCACTGGAGGGGAGAAATAATTCAGAAATGCAAAGCCAGTATTCAGAAGTGATAGGAACCTGGGAACTTCTGTACAAACCAGACAGAAAGATGTCCTGAGGCTGGGTGCATTCACATATCTGAGCTTCGTTTTAAACAGTACATCTTCCCTTCTGGTAACAATTCTATTGCTTCTGTGCCAGGTAGAGTCCAGCAACACCACTCTCCTCTAGAGCCAGCCAAGACCATGCCCTCCCTTTGACTCAGTCATGCAATTCCTTCCGCTTTTGGAGGAGGAGGGGAGCAGTTGAAAATGGTATCTACAGAGTAGGGTGCTGGCTTCCCCGCAAAGCAGACAAAGCATGAGCCAAGGGGTCCAGTAAAGTAAGAATTTCATATCTTAAAGACTCTCTTAAAGTAAGTATCATGGAAAGAATTAGAAACTTTGTTGCTTTACCTTATGTTTATTTTATAGTTTAATGTTATTTGTATTAAACTGATTATCTTTTCAGTGCTTAGGTTAGGTCTTGTAAATATCTAACCCCTATTGAAGGCTCCATTGGCATACAATATTTATCTTTCCAGTTTCTTTTAATTCAGTCCTCTGGGTTGGGCACTGGAATGGGAATCTGTAAGATAGTAGCTTTAAAGAGTAACATAGGCATACGGGAACTTTAGAAACTGCAGCCAGGCTCAGTCTAAAAAGGACCATTGCTTAGTTCCAGCTAGTCGTTGTCATGGAGAAAGGCAAGCTCAATGTTGCTAAATTTAATTTTAAGAAAAGATGAAAGTCAATGTTTTAAAAGGTGAAATTAATTGGAGCTCAACAATTGTAAAATACCAGGGGAACTCAACAAAACATGCTGTAGGGCTGCCAGGACACTATCTCTTGTTTCTAGGACTAGGCCACATTAATTCTACAGAGCCTGTAGAATTTAGAGGCCTCAGAAAATATAAACTCCAGATCTTTACTTGTTCTGAGAAGCTCAGGTGACAGTTTTGACTTGGTGAAAAAATATTCTCTTCAATTTCATTAAATAAATATTTATTGTACCAGGCTAGGCTTACAAGACATAAACACCATTAAATTACTGACCTTGCCTTTGAGGAGCTCAGAGATTAGTAAAAGCAGGGGAAAAAGCATGTCAGTCGGTGTATTCTAGGACAAACAGAGAGCTCATCTTTCTTTTGGAAATCCCTTAGGTTGGTAAGTTTGAAGTATTTATGTTAGTATAAGTGCAATGGATTCTAGATGGATTTGCCCTTAAATGCCCTGTAATTGTTTCAGCTAGTGTTCAGTATCCCACAGAATGGTAACAAAAATTGCCTTAAAGTTATATTGTATTTTGAGCAGTTTTCATTTTGTTTCATTCATTTGGTATCTTTTGAGCATATGGCTTTGCTGTAAATAATTTTGCCTCAGTCCAAAGTGAAGTCTGGCCATTGTCCCCAGTTCCTGAAAGATAATCTCGAAACCCTTGGAATTAGAAGTGTCTTTGTCATTCATGGGGAGCCCCTTAGACCGTAGCTGATGGTTTATGCTAAGGAGATGACTCAGGATGGGGCCAGCCATACCAACAGTCTTGGGGTGGGGGCTGACCATACCAGAACGACCAACAATGTAATTAGAGGGTTATGCCTTTGAGCCACATGATATCAGCCTGGCCTCCAGGGAAGAAAGGGGGCTCAAGGTTGAGGTCATCCTTGTGGTTCAATGAGTCATGATTCAATCAACCATGCCCATGTAATAAAACATTGGGATAAAAACCCTGGACACCTTGGGTGAGCATCCCTGTGTGGCAATCTTCTCTGAATGAATGCTGGAGGGTAACATGTCCCTAAGGGTGATGGAAGTGTCACATTTGTAACCCTTCTAGACCTTGTCCTGTGTACCTCTTTTTTTGGCTGGTTCTAATTTTTATCCTTTCACTACACTCAACCTGTCATCGTAAGTATAGCACTTTCTTGAGTTCTGAGTTGTTCTAGTGAATTACTGGACCTGAGGAAAGCTGTGAGCACAGAACAGTTCTCTGGGTGGCCTTGGATTCACCCAATTCTTTCCCCCTTTTCTCTTGTAGTTCTTAAGAATAACTATAGAAGGTGCTACGGCATAGCATCTTGAGATAAAGAGGGGCTAGCTGGAACAGCATGCATTCTGTTCCCGTCCCCCCTAGAAACAGGATGTCCTTCAATGCTTGGGTCCAGTGTGACATACTTCTTCACGGTAGAAAACCCACAGTGGGCTGCTTTTTGGGGCCCCTCAGCTGAGGTGCAAGTGCGACACACAGAGTGGAGACTCTGTCTGTCCTAGGCAGCTTTCCTGAGCCTTAGGAAACTTGCTCTCCATGAATCGTGGGCTTCTACAGTCCCTTGCTGCCTCCCTGTAAGTGAGAAATCCACTTCATGTAGCCTGGCACGTGGGTGGGTGTTCTGTCTCAACAGACGCAGACAAGTTGGCAACGGTGCACTGCGAACCTACTACATGGTGGGGCCCTCAGATTCACAGCGAGTGTCTAAAGTGGGGGCGGTCTGTGGAGACTGTTCCCTTAGACTCTGATGTTTCACAAACTTATTTTAATTGATGCCAGGAGTCTTGGGCAGAGGTGGCAGTCTGAAGACTGTGACCTTCACCTTGAGTTTGACTTACTGTGGATAATGACCCATTTTTCAATTACGGGGCACTCATGTTGTATAAAAAGGGTAAGACAAGGTCCTTGCTTGGGAGAAATTTAAAATCCTGCTGATTAAACAAAACAGGCTGGCACATGAACAATCCTGAAGGAAGCCAAGCTGGATAAATATCCTGTGGAGGTCAGGAGGCTCCATAGCATAAATCAGTGTGTTAAATGTTTACAGATATGAAGGGACTTGAGAATTTTCAGTTCTCTCTGTTATAAAACAAGGTGAGTTATAGAGGGCAGGGAGGTTGGAGGGCTGACTTGGTGACCTAGGATCCCTGGCAATCTCAGAATCAGAGACAGGCAGGGCCGGGGGGTGGGGTGGATAGAGAGCAGACAAAGCTGTGAATGAGAGTGAAACAGCCAAGAGTTTCTTCTCCCTGTGACATGAGATCCTTAATTTAGTCTGTGAACAAATTTAAGTCTGAAGCTACTTGAGCCCTGTATTCTACCTCAGCATTCTCCTTCCTCTTAAAGCATTAAGAAAAATCTGGCCAATCCTCCTTGGCAAAAGCACCTCCACATTTTCTTTGGCAGCTGGGGAGTTAGTGACATTTTTGTTGACTGTTGCCAAATTTTATCCCCAGGATTTCAGGAATACGTCTTTTTTTTTTCCTGGAGAGTCCTCATCCTTGGAGTGTAAGCTCAGCTTCCTGGAGTTTTCTGTGGAAAGGGGCCTCATCAATCATCTAGTTCAACTCCTCCCGCAGGGCAGAGGAAGCTCCTTGGGGTTCCTGCCAGGTTCCCATTGATTGCTTGAATTCCTCTTGTGGGGAGGAGCCCACTCTTTACCCAGGCAATCTACTTTACTCTGAGACAGTTTTAACTGTTTCAGATTCTTTTCACTTATTAGAATTGACTTTTTTTCTCCTGAAGATTTCTGCCCATGTTTTATTTTTAAATTTTATTTTCTGGGGCTGGGAATGGTGGCATATGCCTGTAGTCCCAGCTATTTGGGAAGCTGAGGTGGGAGGATTGATTGGGTCCAGGAAGTTGAGACTGCAGTGAGCCACGACTGCACTACTGCACAACTGCATTCCAGCCTGGGTGACAAAGCAAGACTGTGTCTCAAGAAAACCACATATATGTAACATTTATAATGCATATAGTATATTTAAAAACCATACACACACACACACACATACACACACACACACACATACTGTATTTATAGTATTATTTCCTGCGAAAATCTAGTAACAAGAGAAACAAAATTGATAATGATAAGCATTTATTCAGCACTTAATATGATCCAGACATAATGCCAATACCTTTATATATATTATCTCCTTTAATCCTCAGAGCTACTCTACAATAGAGTACTACTGTAATACCCATCTTGCAGATGAGAAAGCTGAGGCTTAAAATTCAACTCTCTTGCATGATAGGATGGAGTTCAGATGCCAGAGCTGGATGGGATGTAGATAGCTGACTGCACTGCTCAGGCCCTTCACTTATTCAAAACTTTCATGGACCTGCCTTAGTCACATTGGGTACCATTTAAGACCTGTCTTTTACAATGAGTGTTTTATAGTTGATATTTTAACACATGCTCATAAATCTAGACTTGCTGTGTTTTCCGTGTATTAATAATTATTAGTATTTTGTTTTCACTCTGAACACACACACACACACGCGAACACACACACACACACACACACACACACACACACACACACAGAGATGTTTCCAAAACCCTTTTAAATTTACCAATATTATGCCAACAAGTTGACTTTATGACATCTTCTGGTAATCCCTTAATTCAAATCTGGCTGATATTCTGCAGTGCTGAGCCTGATTTTATTTCTGTTTGTCTCCGTGTTTTATCTCCCTTGCTATTTTGGTTAAAAACACATAATTCTGCTGTTCCCAGTCAGGTGTCACCTCTACCCCTGAGCTGTCACCCAAAGATAACAGGGATTCAGTACAATTAGATAACTGAAATACTTAAGAGGAATTCAATCCATTCTAAAAATCAACAATGCTCCTATTTAATGTGATTTATAATAAGATATTTGTCGTGGAGATAATTGCATATCGTGAGATCTTTTTAAAGAAAATAGCGAGAAAAAAACTCAAAGCTTAAACTTCTTAAATGTCTTTATGAGAGTCCTAAAACGTTTTCTTTTAGATGTTTAGAAAACACTCTATTCCCTGGTGCTTACTCACACATTACAGCCCCAAGTGTGGAAGTAAAGAGGATTCAACTTACAGGCTGTCCAGGCTCATCTCCCCCGAGGATTCTGAAGCCAAATCCAGACTCCATCCTCCGAAGGTGAACATCCAATTCTTTATAATCTGGACCTGGCATAAAGGAGATCCCATTGAGTAATGAATCCTGCCTCTTTCCCAGCCCCTGAGGAACTGAACACACCAATGATAAATTAATTCTGTGGATGTGATTAATGAGAGTGCTGTTAGGATCAATGGAAACCATAGAGGATACAAAAAATATGGTAACAGAAAAGTAGGTATTCCAAATTTAGGTAGTCCCTTGAATAATAGTGACCAGCTAGGGGTACTACTGGGGTATTACCAGAAGCAGAAAGAGTACATGAATTTTCTGAGTAAAAAAATTGATGCCTTTATAATTCTTTATTTTCCTGAGAGCATTGGATTGCCCTCAAGAAGCTTGACTGTCACTTTGAGGATGTTTACTCTGATTAGAACAATTATTACACAAGTAAGAGAGAACAGATGGCAAACCCCTGGAACTGTCTAGTAAAGCACTGCCTAGTAATTTATTAATATGTTTATGACTTGATGCATCCAGTTTAAGTGTGTCTCTGTGTGTGTGTGTGTGTGTGTGTGTGTGTATAAATGTATGCTCAATGGAAGTTGTTTCTTTTAAAATTGCGAAAATTAGAAGATACAGAATGTAAAATTTCTTGTATTGGTATTCAAGTAAAACATTTATTTTCTGACAAACTCCTTTAGGGTTTTCATAACTTACAGGTAGAAATTTACCTGGGTCTAAGATGGACTTTTGTCCTCAAAATATTTTAGAATGTGCAAGCCACAAATTGACTTTTGACTTTGTGAGTGTACTCAAAGTAAATAAGAGACTTTTCCGAAGTCAGCTGAAACAACAGAGATGTATTTCAAAATAAGGTGAAAAACTCTCCTGAATGTCATTTTTTTCAGCCTTAGAATAAACTAAAACTATTAAATATAAAAAGATTTAGACTTTTTAAGTAGAATATGGCTTATGCTTAGCCTGTCCCCTCACCTCTTGGCACCTTCCTCAAGGGGAAATACTTCAGTCGTGACTGAGCTGTGCATACTTTCATGCCCACTGCTGGGATGTCAGCAGGTGATCAGCAATTTTAAGAACTATTTATTATGCTATCCCTCTCTTAAGAAATGTTTAGTGATTTCTGGGCCTTAATGGTTTAAAAGAGGTATTAGAACTGATAGAAAGAGGTATTAAGTAAAATTCCCCTTGCTTAAACCAGATAGTTGTGGAAATTAAGATGGGATTTCAGAGAAGTCTCATAGGACAAAAATCTGTGTCGAAGCCACATGGTTATATGGTAGCACTTGTCGGAGAGAGAGGCTCATTGAATGCTGGAGAGGCAGATATTTTCCAGCTCTGCAGTAGGTGGTGCTGCCGGAGTGATACAGTGTACAAAGCGCAATTTACAGGCTTGCCTTGATGCACAACAACCTGGGCTATTTCCAGGGATATACGAAAGCCATCATTCACTTCTAAGATGTAGGCAAATGCCGATTATTTGTCTGGTGCTCTCTTAAATAAAGTTGAATCAGGCACATAAGTACATGTATATATGCATTGTACACGATTCAATGAGCATTCACACCCTTTTATGACCGAATGCATACATGACCAAGATCTTTTCATTCAACAAATACTGTGAAACTCTGCAAGAAGAATAACCAATTAGACCTCTACATCTTTTAGTTATCCTTTACAAATTATATAATCAGTCATATTTTAAAGATGGGAGAACTTAAAAAAATTCCATTCCTATTAAACAGAGGTGGTGGCAGAAGGAAGATGAAAACCTTGCCTTACACACTATGAGACACAATTGGCTTTTGAACTCAGTTTATTCTGAAGTCTACATATCATATATGAAATCACATATTGGGGCATGTGCTAATCCTTTGGGAGTCTGGAGGCAGATGGAGTTGAGCCCTACAAAATCATAGCAGGTATCTATACTCCTCCCAAGGGAAGGAGAAAGACAAAGGGAAATGGGAGATGACAGATATTGCTCAATCATTGTTCAAACTTCTACAAGTTGATGATAATACAAATGTTCCTGGCAATCTCTTCTATAAGTCGCTTTAAGCTTGGAGGAACTCTAGACCACATATACATTAAAAATACAAATGGAAGGTGCTGTATTTGTGACACTGAACATGATAGAGCCAGCATACGTTTAACTGGAACTTTTCCTCTCCTGTGTTCATCTCACTTTTGCATTGCCGCTCAGTATGCTAAATGGGAAATTGTTCTTCCAGTGACTTCAGCACCCATCCACATTGCACAGGGAGCTCTACAAGAACTTTATTATATGATCCATCTTATTTGCTAAGTAAAACTTTTCCCCTAAAGAAATGCTGAAATTACAACAATCCCAGTAATGGAACTCTGAGAGGTATCAAGGCATAAGAAGTTTGTCTTCTGTCAGAGAATCTGTGATTCCTGGAGGAATTAAGGGGCTTTTCCTTAATGAATAACACATGACTTCTTTTTAGGAGAAAAATCTAGATTTTAGCAAGTGAATTTTATTTAACTCTGAGGAACAGAGACACGAACAATGCATTCATTCTCCTTTTCCTACTCTTTACGTATATTTTGGTGACAATTATGATCCTGTTGCTCTGACCCACCATGATTTCAAACAGGGGGTGGTATGTACCAGCCATTTCATCTTCACTCTTCCGTTCTTCCCAGCAGAGGTGGCCAGCTTCATGGTTCATGAGCAAGCAGAGAGAGGCAAAGAGAGACCCCTTAGAGAAGAATGCTGGCAGATGTGATTTATTTTTTATTTCTTTGTTAATTTTTGAACACAGATTCAGAGGCTGCAGGTTCTGGAGATTTTAGAGAAATAGTCAACTGGAAAAAAGTTTATATGATAGATTGTGCCTTGAGGCAGCAGTATTTTTTTTTTTTTTTTTTTTTAGGGAAAATAACATTTTAGAAAGATAATTTTTCTTTGGTTTCCTTTTTTCCTTGGAGCCTGGCTTTAGAAAATATCTAAAATTACATGTACAAAGCTGGGAGACATCACTGTTTTTCTTTCCTGCTTTATTACTCTTTTGGCAGACTGTGATGTTTCTGAGTTTCCCCCAGCTGCTCTTTGGCCCGACGACATGTTTCAATTACTGTATTATGTTTTATTTCTTTCCTTATTAATGCAAGAACTTAAAGTGAAGAAATCCAACGGCCAACTCTTCACCCCACTGCAGCAGAGTTAACAATCACTGTTCCTTTCCCTTGTTTCTAACAACCGGGGAGGTTGTTAGATGAGGGTGTCTGGTAGATACCTATCTGGACCTGAGTTGCTTTGCATGTTGTTCAACTGTGCCCCACAAACATTCTTTTACTCTTCTGTTCCCTTGTACTCTTTTTTTTTTCAATCTTCTTTTTCCTCAGTCCTTTTTGCAGAACTGTCAGGGACACTCTCAGGCGTTGCTTAATGACGCTCAAGAGGAGGCATTGGTTGTAAAGAAATGGACTAAGAGGAGATAAAGCATTCTTTAGATATTAGTGTTCAGTGGCCAGCTGTGGCCAGTGTTGCTTCTTTGAAGTTGGGTCCTTAGATCCTTAGGAATTATGAAATAATGAAGCCTGTTATGAATTATGACAGGCATTATGAAGCATTTCATGATCCTTTTCCTAGACGGAATTTTACACGACCACTATGGCAAGTGAATTTACAAGTCCTAATTTATCCTGGGCTCATACCAGTATTGTAAAAACTAACTTTAAAAAGTAGCAAATGGTGCGCATATCCAGGTATCAGGATGACCTCTCTCATGATAAAGAAAAGCAGATTTCAAAAGTTGATTCCTATTTCACATGAAGACTCCAGGGGCTTCGCATGGTATACATTTCCTTAATCTTGCTTTTGAAAGACGTAGCTTTGTGCACGGTTAGGGAAAAGGCTGGGTGACTGAACACAACTGATTAATTTTATGAATGGATTCAATCTTCAAAAATGCAAAGAACAACATTTTTATGAATTAATTTGGCACATGGGATGCTGCTGTAAACATGTCAATTAAATTTTGGTACTTGAATCCCCTTTCATGTTTTAATTAAAACATAAGTACCATGGCTTATCATCACAGTTTGGCATGGAAGATACAGTTGTTCAATTTTTCCTGCTGGAAAAAGCATCACTTTTTTGGCTTTTCCTTGTAAAGAGATTTAGGAAAGACAGCATGAGGAAGGCATCAGGAATCACAAATGGTTATTAAACATGGTCTCGACTTCTGGATTTGTATGTACTCCAGATATAGAATGAGTTAAAAAGGAATTATATAGTTCCTGTTGCTCAAATCTAACATTATCTAATAAGTAGCTAATACCCTATCCTTTGAAATATTCCTTCTCTTTACTTGTTTGCTTTATCCCTGTGGGTATGTGAATGTGACCAAGCACGTGTTGGCCATAGCAGACGCCATCTCCCAGTTTCTATTTGGCTCTCTCCTCAGCTTTCACATCAGCTCAGATTTTCCCATCCTAAATATGACTCTGCTTCCTCATTCCATCTCTTTCGAGGAAAAGTTGTCTCTAGTGGAGCCTTCACTCTACCTCTGATTTCATTCCTGCCAGTCTGGTTTATGCTCTCTCTTGGCACTACTGCACTCCTTAAGGTCACTATGCCTGCTAATGACCAAATTAAATGGCCTTTTTTCTTTCCTCATACTGATTGATTTCAGTGCCTCATTTGATATTGTTGATACACTGTTTATGACTTCAGATTTCTTTAGATCCTAAACAAGGAAACATCTCCTTTGGAAGTAGTTTCTGTGACACCCCATTTCCTAGCAGTCTTATTTTTGGGTGGAGTTGCCCATTCAAAGTTCCTGGCCATAGAGTCCATTGTTTTTCACTAATATGCTCCTTAGGTGATGGCATAGTTATCATTGGCTGTCTATAGTGTTCCATTATGCACAGTCTGTAGAAGTTGTTAAATAAATATTTCCCTAACTTAGTTGTCTTAAGGCACTCAGCAGTCTCCTAGACCCAATGAACCATAGCATTATTCCACTATGGAGTTATCACTTAGTTTCAAAAATACATATTATTTACAACTTCCTACTATCAATTTTGCCCTGTACCTAAAGATCTTATGCAAATAAAGTTAATAATATACCTTATAATTATGATAAATACATCTGAGTAAAAATAATGACATGTAATTTGATAAAAGACATTTTATAAATGTCAGAAATAATATGGGTCATCTACTTATTTTATCTTTTTTTTTTTTTTTTTATTAGAGATGAGGTCTTGCTTTGTTGCCCAAGTTAGAGTGCAGTGGTGTGATCACAATTCACTACTGCCTCAGATTCCTGGGTTCAAGCCATCCTTCCATCTCGTCTAAGTCTTCCAAGTAGCTGGGACTACAGGCATGCGCCACAGTGCCTGGCTGTTTACATTTTTTGTGGAGATGGGGGTCTTGCCGTCTTGTCCAGGTTGATTTTGAACTCCTGGGATCAAGCTACCCTCCCACCTTGGCTTCCCAAAATACTGGGATTACAGGCATGAGCCACAGTGCCAAGCAAGATCTGCTTATTTTAAATGCAGTCATGATTTCCCAGAATATTCCGATAACTTGTGTGGACATTCAATCAATTATTTGGATTGGTTCTTTTCTTCAAAATCTGAATTGTATAGTAACATAGTATACTCTAACTATATTATAACTTTTGTCTTCTAAGTAAGTAACATATTTTTTAGAAAATGTAAACTATGACTTTGCATGTATGTTGGGGTAACCTAAACTATCGGACCACTCTATTCTCGTTTTTAAATGAAGTACATTCAGAATCTGAGATTTTAAAGACATGTCCTTTTTGTGACCAGTAAGCTGAGATTTAAAATTCCAAATTAAATCTTGATTTCATTTTGCAACTGTAATTACTAGATCCCATTTTCTCTCTGGGCATAAGATAGTGTTAAAAACAATTAAAAAGATTTAACAGTCAGCATAGAGAAATGATCATGCTTTAAAATTTTTAGTCATGCTAAATAAATTCTTTAGACATTATTTTAAGACAAAATGCTAAATAATATCTTCCATATTTTCTACATATCCCCCCAAAAATGACATGAAAACTTACAGAATGAAATGATCTCAAGCACATATATTCTCCAAGGGGTGTTAGAACATGCTGAGATGGATAATGAGCTGTCATCATGGAAACACTCTGGAGATGTGTGCTGTGAGTCCACAGCCCTGAAATAGTGCTACTATTATAAAACACTATTTTCTGCAATTGTTTGAGTATTTCAATCTGGTGGTCTGATTAGCTGTTTAAAGCATTTTCATCACTAATTCTAAAGGCAAAAAAATTTACATCTTCTTTTTCCTCTGTCATTTGTACAATAATGTTACATATTTTAGCGTAAACCAAAATTGGTGTTTTTGATATGATTAAGTAAAAAAAATTTTCATTTTATGCAAATTAATTATGACTGAAAGCTCCTAAAACTAAAATATGATATTCAAGCCTAACTTAAAATCTTATTGAAATATAGCATTTTATAATTGGCATTGTTTAAAAAATGAAGCTGATATAAATAGTTACTTGATTTGAAAAGAATTTCATTCTGTGTTAGCAAAATTTCTAATACATTCTTTGGAAATGTCTAAATTGCAAATCTCCTGAGACCTTCTAGCTTCTTATTTGTATCTAGTTTAAAGCTATTCAATGTACATAAAATGCAAGCCACATAAGTAATTTAACATTTTCTAGTAGCCACATTTTATAAAACAAAACAGATGAAATCATCTTTCTTTTTTGTTTGGGTACTGTCTTTGGAAATCCAGTGCAGATTTTTCACATATCTTACAGCACTTCTATATTTAGAATAGGCATATTTCAAGTGCCCAATAACCACATGGAGCTGGTGGCTACTGGATCACATAGCACAGGTCTATTCAGTCTGATGGCTCTCCTCGGCAGCTGTTTTTAATTCAATCTTTTACTAGAGTATTTTATGAAAGAAATTCATGAATATGACTGTTTTCCTTTGTTTTTGTTGGCAGGCATTTAGGCTCACCATGATGAGACTTCCTCTCTATCTTGAATACATGTTTCATGTAGGTGACTAAAGTAGCACAGTGATTATATACTAAGAAACTGATAGTACTCAGAAGAATGATTTGTTACACAAAATGGAAGACGTTTTGTTCACAGAACTGTGAGTGCTGAACAATACTTGCCAGAGGAATCCATTCGAACACTGGTCCTGGGTGGCACTTGTTCTGGATGGGAAAATGGGGAATTAAAGTTGAAATTCATTTATGGCATTTTAAAATTCATCTTTACTTTCTTTTGGTTGCTATCATAGCTCCCCCAACCACAATCCTATACTTATGTTTAAAACATTTTTTTTTCCTCTAAGATCCAAGTTAGTGGACAGATTTATCTTGCTTTATGTATGAGCATGTATGTAAACGTTTCTTTTTTTTTTTTTTCTTTCTGAGAAGGTGTTTCACTCTTGTTTCGCAGGCTACAGTGCAATGGCACAATCTGAGCTCACTGCAACTTCCGCCTCCGGGGTTCAAGCGATTCTCCTGCCTCAGCATTCCCAGTAGCTGGGATTACTGGCACCCACCATGACACACAGCTAATTTTTGTATTTTTGATAGAGATGGGGTTTCACCATGTTGGCTAGGCTGGTCTCGAACTCCTGACCTCAGGTGATTCACTTGCCTCGGCCTCCCAAAGTGCTGGGATTATAGGTGTGAACTACCGTGCCTGGCCTGTAAATATGTTTCTTTTACATGCACCCAAAATAGAAAAATCTGAGTTTCTTTTACGATAAGGGTGGAATAAGATTACCATTTCTAAATATTGTTTTGATTCTCATTATAAGAATACTAATTTGAAAGTAAAGTCAATCTAGAATGTGAAATATATAAGGAAAATATAGGTCCTTTAAAATTAGGTTATAATTCTGTGTCATAAAACTTTGAAATGAAAAGTAGAAAATCTAATCAATGATGGTATTGATTTATGTACACTAGTCAAAATATTTTGATATTTCCAATTATCTGGGTAGTTGAAGTTATGTATAAGTAGTTGAGTTAAATTAGTTTATTTTAGCAATAGAGATCCTTTATAAGGTTTATGTTATAATCTATGTTAAGTCTAATAACATAAAAATTCAAAAAAGTGAGTACAAAGCACCTTCAAAATGTAGGCATATCCCACATTTAGAATTTGAGAACCTAGAAAAACCTGGTTGCATACTGTGTTCTGGAAGTAACTGGAGACATGTTGCTCTTGTGCATTAACATTTTTCATGGGTAGCAAGACTCCAATTGACATGCTTCCTCCTACTCTGCATGGTTGAGATGTGCAGCTCCTTACTGCATGTTTGAGAAATGCAGACTTTCACCAGGACTTTATCTGGAACTGCTAAACCTGAAGAATAACATAATTAAATTGTCCCTTGATTTTCACTCTGCCTTCTAAATCCCTGGTCTTAATATCGTAGAAGAATTAACAGAATGAGAGATGCAAGGCACCTTTCATTGCACAGATGGTAAGACCCAAAATGCTACGTGATTTGTGTAAGGTATTCTGTACCATCTCACAGGAAACTCTTCAACATCCTTTTTAGAAAACATACTTGCTATATGTTTTAAACTTAATTAGAATGCATTATTCAATAAAGCTCTTTCTTGTTTCATTTTAGTATTATTATGAATAAATAATACATTCTTTTCTGACCACGTTATACATTTTTTCCTAACATCTCCAGGCATTTTTCCTCTTCCTTCACTGTTCTGTCATTAGAGAAGTTCCTAAACCACAAAACTGAGTTTAATATCAGATGGGCAGATGATACATGTATGCAAACCTCTGGTCAAGAAATACTTAAGAAGCTAAAGATCTATGTTAAGATATGCTGAGATACTTCTATCTGAGAGAGTGGCAGGATATTTTTGCCTCTATGATGAATTTAATATTAAGTTTACCACATTGTTTTGCTTTTGAATCATGTGAGGAATTTCAGATGAAAATTAACTAAGCATTATTAAACCTCTCAAAAACACAAATTCACATTGTGGGTAAAAGAACTGTAAAATGTTCTTGCAAGAACCACTCCTCTCGCACTTGTAGACTTCAATATGTGAACTATTATTTTTTGCTTGGAAGAAATTTCATACCATTATTATTATTTGTGTCTATAAATAATTATTTATGATATATAATCACTAATCATAAACGATTATTCCTTAAGAGCATTTATAGACGAGGCAACTTAAGAGTTTTAAAAGGCAGAGAGTAAGAACATAGTACAATAGAACTCTCCCGTTCTGAATGTGTTAAGATGACATAATTTTATAATATAGTTGTACCATATAAAGCACTATGAAAAAATGATTATTTTATCCTTAAAGTTTAAAAGGTAAAATAAGACCAAAGTCTTGTTGCTTTTTCACTGAGCTTTGTTTCAAATAAAGAGCCAGTCTGCTCATGGAGGGCATAACGATCATTCCTGCCAGGTAAGCTGTGCTTTCACAGTAAAGGCAAATTAGCTTTCTGGCAGAATTGCTATTTTTAAAGAACCTTCATGTTTGGTGTGGCTGCTTAGAATTATGACTTAAGAAATGTCCTTTTGTCTGTATCAGGGATGGAAGAGTGCTACCTTTGAAACACTTCCATTAGGTATAAAACCGACATGTTATGTTATACTCTCATGAGGACCTACTGGCCATTGAGTGCTTAAACTCTGCAGCTCTGATGGTCTCACATATATTCATGAAAATACATTGGGTTACATTGCCAGCTTGTGCAACCAACAAAATGCTTTGATATATTAAATAACTTTCAATCAAGACCTGATTTTTAGAGTTTACTTTTTACTCCTCCACCTGCCTTAATCCCCTGTCTAATTCCAGGATCTTTTAATTTTAAATTACTGAATGAAATAAATTTATAAGCTCTAGGGTTGGATCTAATTTCTAAAATACATGGGAAAAATATGTGTCCTACCACAGCTTTTATTTTGCTATTTTACTTAGCTCACACCATGATAATTTCCTATTTCAAAAGGAGCCTGTTGGAAATATAAATGTTACCACCGTTTTTTAGAAAGTTATCTGAGGATACCTTTTTAAAATCAGATTTCCAAATTAATTAAAATCTACATATTAAAATGGCAGACACAGCTTAACTGGATTTACTGATCTTCATATCAATATATTATAACTGCAAAGTGATGTACAACGCGATATATTAGAAACTCCGTCTGAAAGGCAAATTTTTTTCACAGATCAAATCATAACACAAATTATACTAAGGATAACAATAATGCTTCTCTCATAAGAAAAGGGTGCAGAAAATTAATATCTCCGTACAACTGAGGACATTTAAAATGATAACATTATTACATCTTTTTCTATCCTTTTATTTTTCTAATGCTAGAGTCACTGGTAAAAGTGTTTTAACATTAACTTATTTTAATATTTCACTAAAGTAAGATTGTGTTCCAGAGAACATATGTGTGTGTGTGGGGGTACTTTAATGCACTGGACATCAGCAGTGTTTGAGCAAATCAGGCCAGGGGTTGGTCTAGCACATGTTCATATGTGAGGGTGTTCTCTGGGAAGGCACGGTGGCCTTTCATAATCACATAATAGCAGCCAGTAGCTATGGCATCCATGAATTTATTTAAACCTTTCTTAAACTTTTTGATATTTCTAGCTTGGCTCAATTGGGTATTTAATTACAGGGGAAAAGGAGACTTGGGTCAGGAAGGCATGAGCTAAAAGATTTTCAAAGGCTTCAGAGCTTTGGTTTTGAGCACCCTACATAGATACTACCATATGTGATGTGGCTTCCCCCATCACTTTTCATTGAGATATTGAGGCAGTGTGCTGTGGTGAATAATATTATTGTAGTACTCCATCCTTTCAAGTGGCTCGCTGTTAGGATGGGAGACAGTGCAAACTACAACTCTTGCTCACTAATAACGAGGAAAGAGCAGCAGAAAACCTGATAGTTTAGAAATACAACCACCTGTTTGTGATCAGCCATAAATTACATGTGTATTACAATACTGAACAATGAATTCAATAACATGCAATGAACAACAAAAGAGCAGGATAACAGCCCTAGATGTGAAAAACATAACTGTCCATTTTTGATCTGCCACAAATTATCATTTCATTTCAGACATAGTACTACAAAACAGTTTGCTTCTCCATTATGCTCTTTCACTGGCCTGTGGTCACTTTTGATTGCTACCTTTGCTATGATACTCGTTGCTTATTAGGTCTAATTCTGGAAAGGAAAATTGATTGTGTGAGCTCTTTTGAAGACATTTCAGAGAAATTTCTGTTCTAAAGAGGTTATACCATAAGACATATTACACCATACGGATCCTGACATTTTTATGATTCTACATTTGAGTGATGTCTTAACACAAAGGAGTGTGGACATGTCGTACCTCATAAATTGTTTACTTATTATAACCAAAGTTCAATGTGAAGAGAAAAAAGTTTGAACAGCTTCAGTCATAATTCAACTTGGGTTTAAACCAAGGGACAGAACCCTGAGGGAAGAGTTTTAGGAAATAAGAATTTTTCTTTCCCATTCCTGGTTGCCTCTGCTTATTCGCTCCAGCTTTCAAGGCTGCCGTGTAGAACAGGCCCAAGCAGTGTCCCCGTGAGCTGAATGATAAGATAAACCTTTACAACAAGTCTGGCTTAAAGAAAAGTGAAGCAACAGGACAAGGCCCTATCCCATGTCAACAGGCCCATCAGAGTGATCAAAACTTTATTTTGTAAGATTCCAAAGTAAGCCACACTCATTTCTTTGGGAAGCACTTTATACTGCCTTGCCTATCACAATTCTTCTTTTTATTACCAGTCATCTAGCTGTAGTTGTCTAAGTATAATCTTTCCCAGAAGAAGGAAACAGATGAGATTAACTCCCTTTCATTTCAGTGACTATTGTGATGTTGAACCCGACTTATTTTCTCTGTTAAGAAAGAGGACTCCATGGCATAGTACTTAAATGTGCAAAACTTTACTACCTATTTTTTTTCTACTTCATTTGCCGTGAAGTAGATTTGTACATGTATCTAACTTTGGAGCTTGGCTACCAACACTAGTCAGGAATAAGCCTTTACTTCAAATTAGGGCTAAAATATGTATAGGCATAAATTCTATCAGCTGAATAAATTAGCTTGAAAAGATTATTTATCTGAGTAGGTATTACGCTTTTTATTCATGGTGTGTACATTTAAATATATGCTTTTCTTGAACAGCAATGATGACTATTCCTTGAATAAATTATATAAAAAAGAAAAACATTATAATTTATCATTCAAATGAGGACAGTCTAGGGTGGTAAAAAGTGAACTATTAATAATTATGCCAGGACAACACAGACCAGGATTGTCCAGGGAAACTCCCATGTGTAGTCACCCTAGACAGTCTTATAAGTAACTAAGCCAGTGAAAAAAGTTTCCTATCATGTTAGAAATATGTAGTGGGAGGATGGATGCAGTCACACACAGAGAAAGAAGGGCAGGAGGAGATGAGGTAGAGAAAACACGAATGGCCTGCTTTTCTCCAAGGTTAGCAGTGGCATCTGTAGTCCAGCATTAGGAATGTTAGCATACAAACCAGAACATTCAAGCCATTCCTATTGTGACTGCAAATCAAATTCAAGTTCTTCCTTTATGAGATTCTTGGGAAAAAGAGAAGAGGGAAGTAAAAAATAGCATGGCTTGTTCCAGTACGCAAAGGTATCTATTTTCTTTTGTTTTCAGTTTTTAAAATTGCAAGTAGTGGGGCATCAAGAAGTCAATTATCAACAGAGATTATTATCACAAACAGAATAGTTACATTTGTCTGAAAGTCTTTGGTAGAGATGGGAGCCGGGGAGATTTTTGTCCTTTTCTGGGAATTGGTAGTACTGACATAGGGTCAATGTTTAAATAATTAATATGAAGATCCAGAAGGCCCATTGATTAAAACTTTTTTAGGGATTTTTTTTTTCACATAGTTATACTTTTACATTTAGTAAGTTTAAACTTATATGGAATTAAGTTAGTGGGGAAAAAAATTCTTTTTTTTTTTCTCAGAGTTCTCCAACAAGGATTAATGAGATTTTGATGATGAAAGGTACTTAACAGATAAAATTCTCTTGATTAAATATCAATTTTGCACATGGAAATTGAGAAACTCTCATTATTTAGTTATTTTTACTGTGTAATTTCACACATTAAAATACTGACATTATTTGCTATGTTGTGTAATGGAGCCTTGTTCAGAAATGGTTTTCTTATGTATTTGTTTGTGTCCCCACCTTCACTGTAAGCTTCTAATGAGCAGAGGTTATTTCTCATAACTTCTCTTGTGGAGTGTCTTGCAGAGTTCTAGATACATAGTGAGTGTTTCATATATTCTTGTTGATTGACGTGGAGCCTGGAGTTGCTACCTCCGGGCACTGTGCCTAATGCTCTGAAGTCAGAGGCACTGCTAGCCTGCTGGGTGGGAGAATCTTCCTTTCTCTGTCTTGCTCCATTCCTGGCTCATCTTGAGATCTCATGAAGATAGGAGGTGTTTCCTAATCATAGCATGTACCTGTCATGTTCTGTTTCACGTGGCTCTACTATCCTATGGTTATCTTCATTTGTTTAAAATCACAGCATTTTTTTTCAGGAATACATCTTTATTAAGATGTCCTGTGCATGCACATTAAAATGTCAGCATAATCTAATTATGAGCCAAATGAGGCACAGCAGCATTTACATCATTTGATAAATTTCCATCATTTGCAGGGGACTGGTGACTTGAATCCAAATATTTCTTGACAGCCTTGACAGAACAAACATTCTGTAGCTCTGTACAGCTCAGGCTTGTGGGTGGAGGGGCATCTTTTTATCTGGCGACTGCAACCCAGTTTTCAATGTGAATGCAAAAATCTGTTTAGCTTCAGATGTGGTTGTAAGGAAGGATACCATGAGATCACTATAGACTAGGGGAAATGTCAAAGGACTTAGTTTAAACAGCTTTGGTTAGGATTCCTTTCCACACTTTGCACTGATTTCCCTCCACCCCCAGGAAAAGACAAGGATAAGCAGAGCCAAACCTGAATGTTATGCATATAATTCAAAGAAGTAAGAATAGGAATGGTTCATAATCACAAATTTTGAAATATTGATCTTTTGTTTGGGTGCATACATTTTATGATCATTGCATTAAAAAAAACCTGTATGAAGATAATGAGAAACAGACTGAGCTTTCCAATAATTAGTTAAAAGTTTTTTTCTTTTAGTATTGCTTTAATCATTTACATGAGAATGTGAAAGTTGGAAATGGAAATGTACAGAAGAGCAAAAGGCTATCTTAGTTTTTTTTTTTTTTTTTTAAAGACACACACATATCCACAAGCAGAACGAACTGATCAGCTATCCAGAGAGACAAGAGAAAGCGGCGCCATGCTCTCCTGGTTTCCTTAATCTTCAGTGGTGGAGCTTTTCTTACCTTGACATGATTTCTATGTTTCATTCACACTCCATTTAGTGTTATGAAGAAATGTGATAGAAAGGAGAAGGATGGGAAGGAAAATAAGCTTGCCTTTTTTTGGCTTCCTGAGATTTTTGAACCTGAAAACATTATTGTGACCTTAGAAACATTAGAGAGAGCTGATGAAAGCAGGAAGGGGGTGTGATGAGGGCAGCAGCAGCAATGGCACAGGGGGGGCACTGATGGGGGCCCATGGCGGGGCGAGGTGGGGAGTCAGGATATTTGCTGTTCCTGCAGTTGTAGAGGGGAAAGGGGATAAAGAACTCCCAGAGGAGGACTGAAAAAGAAAGCTCCAGGAGGTTAAGGTGGATTGGTTTGCTTGGTTTGTTACAGGTGAGGAGGGGAAAGGCAATGAACGGAAACAGCATTGCAGGGGCTGGATAAAGAAATAATTCTTTTGGAGTTGAGAAGAGGGTCATGTACAAAGGAACCAAGGGCACAAAAATATCAGACAACCATAAAGAGAAAACGAGATAAATGCCAACATTGTTTTTGTCCTGAATCCTAAAGCTTTGCATTGGCCAGGAAGCTGCAAAAAGGATGGCAGCGAATGACTAAGGAAGAGGCGAAAAGCAGGAGGAAGCACCTCTCAATGCTGCCTAAATGCAGTCACAAAATTAAACAAGCCAAGGAGGTGAGGATGATATTTTGATCCTACGCCTTTCCACCTTCCATGTTAGAACTGTTAACTTTATCTTACTGTCTACCTGTTTACATTCATTATTCTTATTTTCCCCTTGCATGTGTGAGAGCAGGCCATGTTATTCATCTTTGGTATCTCCTCACAGTGCTCACAGAAAGATGGATATTCAATCAATACCTTGGTTATTGAAGCAGAAAAGGTATTAGAAACTATGCTGAAATCTTTTTTTTTTTCAGATTAATGAACATTAATACCCTGAATTCATACTGTATATTATGTAGCTAGGAATGCCTACTTTGTTCTTTACTACAGCAAAGACATTCTAATGATACAATCTAGAGATATGATATTTCAGTTGTTCATCCAGAAGGAGAGGAATGAAATACAGTAGCTCTGATGTAGCCACTTCTTAAAAAAAAAAAAGTGTGTGTGGGTTTGTGGTGAGGAGATGTTTCATTTTGATATAAATGATTTGTCAATGGCCTGCAGTCCTAACCATTTTATCAACCAAAGTTAGTTTTACAAAGAGTTGTAGAGGATGGGGAAAAGATTATTATGTCTGCTTTCCTCTTTACCAGCTGGGTGCATAATTCTCAGCCTCTGAGCTCATCAAAAGAGTAAGCAGATTTGAGATCCTCTGAGATCACACCCAATTTAAAACTTGCTATTCATGCTTCGGATGATAAAGTTGGAAACAAGACATTGGTGGAACACTGAAGCAAAGGAAATCAGCAGACCATAAATGGGAGCACCAGGGACCAAACTCTTCTATGAGGCTGGGTTTCCGGATCATTTAATACACAGGTTCTTATTATACTGTGAGATTCCTGTCTTCTAACATGTGGAGGAGGTGATTTGCAAGATGGTAGAAAGAAGCAAAGCGATGGTACAAGCAATATTAAAAGCCTTGTTTTCTAATGTTTACAAAGTCAGTCATTTTAAAAGACCTTCAGATAGGGACACAAGTACATACACAATATTTTAAGACTGAATGTTCAAATGTGCCTGACTGCACTAAAAGAGAAGCAGAAAACTGTGGCAGAGATGATTGGCACCTAGATCAATACTGCCTTCGGAAGCAATTGATGTCATGCCTGTGGGGTGGGAAGGCTTGGCTGACTTTTTACCCAATGTCCTAACTTTTTCAATGGCTCCATTCAAGGCTCTTTAAGAAAAATCTAAGCTTTAGGCTCAAGATCACATTAAACCGATTTAAAAAAAAGGCTAAACACTTCTTTTCCGTATTTGGTAACTTAAACAAAACCAGCAACTGCAGCCCCCAATCCCCCAAAATATATTCCTGATATTCTTCAGGGGATTAGGGGAAGAAAAGTAGGAGACAAAATGTAAGCTGAAAGCTACAATAAACCTACTTTTAGAGTAATAGTCTTTCTAAGATAATTTTAGACGAGTTGGCTCTACTCTTGAAACACTTTTGAAACTCAGAATATAAAACCATGCCAGGTAATTCAGCCTCAATATATCTCCTGGCAGTGCCTCAGTTATCATTAAGGTACCCTTGTTTTATGTGGCTTTCACTTACGCCTACTTTCATAAATGGCCCTAGATTTCTCGTAGAGCTCATATGGATCAGGCTTCCGTGGGTCAAAGGCCTCTGTTGAGTCAGGAAAGGAGCTCCTGTGAAGGGCAGGTGGGAAGGGCAGGTTCTGTGGTATGGCTGGAGCAGATAAACTCGTTTGAGGACTGCCTTGATTCTCCCATCGGTCCATTATCTGAAAAATGAAAGAGGACAGAGAAAATGACTGACGAATTCTTCCTCGTTATTTCTCTTGCCACCTTCAGGTTAATCTTTTTTGCCTTGTGGACCTTTCTTCCAGGGAACGAGTAAACCTCTGGTATAAGTTCCTTGAAAGAAAAGATTTTTTGCCTATGTAAGACAACATCATAAACTGTTATAAATGCAAGTGGTGTCTGACTTTTGAATGCAAACTGATATATAACTTACATTACCTTGTCAAATATTTGCTGGTAATCTTTGGCAAACCACTTAATTTCTCTGTTTTTTCCCTATAAGATAAAGATAATGTGTCTCAAGATAATTCAGATGTAAGTACCTAGAAATGTATGGTATCATTTTTTCCTTTTCTAAAGTGGTTTCAACATATTACATCACTTTTCCCCGAGCAGAAGCTACAGTCGTCTGCATATACTAATTTGACACCTACACATATAGCAACAACCTCTTATGCGTAAATATTCAGTCACTTTCCTCTCAATTTTGATGTAATTATGCAACCATCTAGGATTCAGGGATTGTTCAGAGTCTCCTAGGAAGCCTCATTTACTGTGGATCTGGTGATTCCTCCCCCAGAGTGCTGCTACTGATGTGGCTACTTCTCTAATTTCTTAAAGACCTGCAGAGTACTTCCCAGTTTCTCATGTTCTTTTATATACATGATCTTCTTGGATCCGCACATTATCACTATGAGATAGAGAAAGCAGAGATCAGTACCACTTTTTAGCAAGGTGGAAGCCAGGGTCCCTGAGATCACCTGTTGGCACTGCCAACTTCATTTTCGTTCGTCAACTGATGACTCATTCAAACTCAATTTTTCTTTCCTGCTTTGAATAAACTGGCAGATTAGTTTGCCCTCCTGCTGAAACTCTGCCCTGAGTATGCATGGTCCTCAGGACAAAGGCCAAACTTCCTACAAGGGCGTAGCGGGCTCCTCTTGACCCTGGTCTCCTCACATTCCTCATATTGGCTAATGGGCTGGCTTCTCATTCTCTAGGATCCACTTGATTCTCTTCTGCTTCTGAACCTTTGCATGCTTAATTTCTCTATCTATATGCATTTTCCACTCTTCCATCCCCTCCCTCACTTCACTTGGCTACTAGATTCAGATGAGATGTCTCTTTTCCTAGAAGGCTCTTGCTGACCACCCTGTTCCTTCTGCCCCTCACACCAGTTCATCACATCCAACTGTGATCACCATGATTCTACCCAGCCATGTCTCACACAGATCATGTTGGGGACCAGGGCTGTGTCTTTCTCCATGTTATATTACCAGTGCAGAGTTAGCACTCAGAAAATGTTCATTTAGTGAATGATGAAAATTATGAATAAAATATGGCCACTTAAAAAAAAACCAGTTTTGATACACACTACATGAAACTTGGCAGGATCGTAACTTTCTGTTCGTTATGGCACTATCCTGCTTTTGTTTTCACACTAGTTATATTTCTGCCAGGGCTCCGATTCCAGCTCTGGCCTGTCCATTATCAATAGTTTGAAGCTGGAAGGGATGTGAGATGCCATGTACTCCAGTGTTTTTTAAACTGCACACACATGCTGTGTAACACAGGAGACCCAGGGGGCCTGCCCTGCCCACTTGGGACTGGGACTGTGGCAAGGGTTTGTGCTGAATCAGCAAACTGGGAAAGAAGTGGTCACTGACCCTTCCCTCAGTAAGACTGGCTTCATTTTAATTTGTTTTCTATATGGGCTACTGCCCAAGATTTCATTTGAACAAAGTTTCTCTAACTGACAAGGATGGAAAACCCCTAGTCTAGTTCAGTTTCCTCCTATGAAACATAATCTTTAGAAGCACAGAGAGGGTAAGTGGCTTGTCTGAGGTCCAGCAGTTGCCAGTGGCAGATCCTGGGTCAGAAACACCTGTAACTCTAACAGGAGTAATTGTTTATATAGTACCACACTAGGGGGAATACCTGGTAAATATGGTTTGAGTTATAGTGAATTGTAGTGAATTTTCTGCTCAGCAGGCCTTGTGTTCCCATCTTTATATATTTCATAATTCATTTGATAGCAAAATTCATACAGAAAGCTATTCTGGGTTTCCTTGGTCATCCATTCTGGGTGACCTTGCCATGATGTGGAAAACCACATTTGTGGGTAAAGGCACATCCTTGGTAATTTTTCACTTTAGCTGACTTTAGGCACCATGTGGATGCATTCTGGCTGTGACTTTATCCCTTCGGTTTTCAAATATAAGATACTAAATACCAACAAGTAAATAAATCAGAAATACGGTGTGAGGAGCTGAAGTATCTATCCCACTCGTCATCACAGGGCTTCGGCAAGTGTCTCTTCTATACTCCTTTGAGGGTTACCTGATACCCACGTGTGTCTTGCTGGTATATGTATTGTTCATATATAGTCACTGGACATGCTTCAGGTGAAATATTGGTATTTCTAAAAAACAATCTTGAAACTACAGAACAAGTAATGCTTTGGGCACTGTTTGGGAAGGCTGCCGTGGCAGATTGACAAATTCTACAATTTCTGTAGCACAGAGATTGGGGAATTAGTCAAGAGTCCAGTTCATGCTTAGTAAAGCATTCACAACTTCTTGCTATGAGATTCATTAACTCTTGAGTAACTCTGTCAGGGTTTCTTAAAAGACTTTAAAGCAGAAAATCACTGCACCCATGAAAAAAGCAGACAATATTCTGTTCTCTGCCACCTCGTATTCTGCTCCCTCCTCAATGGAGTTACCTGGTGGCTCCTACCCAGAAGACCTTGGGGCACATCACCCGCCCTGGGGTCAGAGGTCACCCCCTTAGCTGGGGCTGGTGTGCTGGCCCGACTGCACCTTCCGAGGAGTACATTCCATTGTCTCTTCCCTACTTCCTTAGGCACTTTAGTCTCTGGACTTTTGCTTTCTACCTGGGACACTCTGGCCTATTTCTACCTTCATGAACCCCCTGGATGTTGATCCTGTCCCCTTATTGAGGTCGATGGCTTCACTTGCTCTACCTAGCATCTTCTGGGCCTTTTCTTGTTTAGAGTTTTTGTTACCTGCCAGGTGTTTATTTCCCAACAAACTTCTTTTTGGGCCTCTCTTGTCCAGTCCCAGTGGTGTCCAGACCCAGGCCAATGTTTATAAACATCTCACTAGAATAAGCACAAATGGAAATAAAAGTTGTTTTCTATACTGAGAGAAGTCTGTGCCTCTGCTGGCCTTGGCAAGTGAATGGATGTCTGTGCAACTGTATGAATGGACAGCACTGAAATCTCAGCAGCCTGGACGTCCAGTCCACACCCAGGCATCAAATAGTAAAATAGAACAATCTGTTCATGGCTGTGGCTGTTCATTTTTATTTTTATTTTATTTGTTGAAACACGGTCTTACTTTGTCACCCAGGCTGGAGTGCAAGGGCATGATCTCAGCTCACTGCAACCTCCACCTCCCAGATTCAAGTGATCCTCCCTGCTCAGTCTCCCAAGTAGCTGGGACTATAGACATGTGCCACCATGCCCAGCTAATTTTTCTATTTTCAGTAGAGACAGGATTTCACCATGTTGGCCAGGCTGGTAGCTAATTTCTTCAACCTTAGCTTCTGATTCTAGGGTGCACACAGGGAGTAGAGAGATGTGAATGAGGCAGGCCCCTCTCCCCGATTCCCATGAAATGCTCTGTTCAGAAACTGTTTCCTTCCTATAGAAACTAGAGTAGTTTACTCCATCTCACTATTTCGGGTGAGGTTGGAAGATGACAACATTTGGCTTGATTCTGTATTTGAGGAATGCACTTGATCCTTTCCAGATGGAGAAAATGAGAACTCACTATTTTAGCATATTATTTGTTCAACAGGAAGCGGCTATCTTGACATGGAATAGCATAAGATGTGGATCAGTAGGACAGCAAAGAGTCAGGGAGTCACACAGGACTAGGAGGAAGCTAGCTAGATCTCATCCCATATAATATTTCCTTATTCTGACCCAAGATATCATCAATCCTTTACCTGGCGCCTTCCTGGCCTTCGCCTGTTTAGAGCTTGTTACCTGCCACGTGTTTATTTCTCAACAAGCTTCTTCTTGGACCTCTCTCGTCTAGTCCCAGGTGTCCATGCCCAGGAAGGTGGGACTGGAAAAGAGAGGCCCAATAAGGGCCACACTCAGAGGACAGTGTGTATAAACCCACATACTGTGGGTATATTGTTATATACTTGTTTGGATTAATAGTTCAGTCAACTATGTTCATTTCATAGAGTGACTTGGTAAAGGCTCATGCACGGAAGGTCTGCTTTCCGTGGTGATAGTAGTTTATGTTTTCAAGCTCAATATGTAGAGGCAACATGTTTTAAGCACCTTACATGGTTTAACTCATAGAATTCTTCACAATAACCATAAAAGAGGGCTGTTATTATCTCCATTTTACAGATATATAACTTAAGACACTGATAGCTTAAGTAGATAGCTATAGTTAGGAGTCATATAGTAAAGTCATGTAGTTAGGAGAAGAAACAAAACTTGAGTCCAGGGAGTATGCCTTTAATGCCAACACCCTGAACAAGTATATTAATGCCACACTTCCTCTCATTATAGTCCTCAGTCTAAGGAATTTTTGGTAGATACATGGAAGACATTAATTCTATAGCCTTCTACCTTCTCTTAACTATGACCTGGAAGTCCAAGCCTTAGCTTTTGTAGAAATACATGGATTCAGGATTAATTGTACATTGAGTTCTATAAAACATTTTTTGGAATTATTGACTATGAATGTAATTACAATAATGACAGAAAATGCTGTAATTATACCCAATGACATAATTTGTGTAAATGTGGTACGTATAAGGAAATCACTAGGTTGCATAATTGTAGCACCATGAGGTTCCTTGTTAAATTAGATAAAGATGTGTATAACCACAGAGCACAGATTTAAGTTTGGTGGTGAAAGGAAGGAACTCTTTAGACCTTGGTTAAGATAAAACAAATTTCATTTTAAACATTTAAAAGGATCTCTTTTCAAAATCACATGCATCCTTATGTGATTTGCTAAACTTAAATAAGACTGGTTTTCCATCTAATGTTCTCTGTGGACCAGATGAATCAAATCCTAAATGAGATTCTGTTGGCAGAGTATTCTGCTTTGCCGCAGTCTCTTGTAGTCAGGGGCTTCACACATCCCATTTAGGGCAGAGTATTCTAACTCATCATAAAATGGGATCCCAGAGAACCAGTCCCAGCTCTTGGGACTTGGGCAATTAATAGTTTCAATCTAACTGCAAGTAAAGACCATCTCTAACTGCTAAGACAACTTGGCTAGTCCAGCTCTGCAAAAAGATTATTAAAAGCCACCATCTTCTTACATTGGCACAAACATTTTAGCAATTTTCATAGGGAAGTAGGCCTAGAGTTGTCAGATAATGCTACAGATATCCAGTATCTAAAGAAGATTCAGAAGCACCATTTTTAGTGATTGGCAGGTTTGACAGAATATATATACAGTATACAGAGCTTAAATATACGTGTGTGTGTGTGTGTGTGTGTGTGTGTGTACAAAGACACATATACCCATGTGTATATCTATATACATACACATTACATATATATACACACACACACACATATATACAGAGGTAACATATATACACATGACACATACATATATGTAGCTCCACAGACATATATATACATGACACAGACATATATGTAGCTCCATAGACATTAAAATGTAAGTGTAAATATAAATGTATACAAGCTTAAATTTCTTGTGGACTAGATTTAACTTGTAGGTCAAGACTTCTAGGCCTTTAGTTTGCATAGTTTCTAAAAATTCCATGTTATGAAGACTACATAGTATTGCTGACGGAGAAAAACAAAAGGCTTTTAAAGTACTTTCATTACATTAGACTACATAGTATTAATGTTCATTTTGTAAGTACATATTTTTAAAAAGGGCAGAATTGTTTTCATAGGAAGGAAACATGAGTGACTCTTGTACTTGTGGGACAGATACAAGACAAAGGGACACAGGATTTATTTTTTTGACACCACAGACTGCTAGAGTTGAGAGATTTTGAGGTCACCCAATTCAACTTTTATTTAATGGAATTGCAATTGTAAGTAGAAATAAAGAAAGAAGCATAATAATTCCAACTTACAGGCTTTGGAGTTTTCCATGGAGAAAAGAAACCTGTAATAAAGAAAACAATATTTGAACTTTGAAAATATTGCCCACTGCCACCTATGGGTGGCATGATATTAAGATAATTATAATTGATTATATATTAGTTAATAGCAAACAGTAACAATAACAAATTTCTGCCTGGCTGTATGTTTTTCTTCAAGGAGCTCAAAATCAAACAATTTCATTGGAATTGTATTAATGATTCTAGGAATATTCCTTATTTGGCAACTGAAGATGCTAAGGCACGGAGACGGCAAGTGACCATATGTCAAATCGTCAGGGCTTTACAAAGCCCAAGACTCAGTCATCCTTAGGGATTCTTTGGCACAGCCTTAGTGGGAAAGAGAGAGAGAGGATAATGACATAAATTTAAATTTTCAGAGGCAAATAGCTTTGCTTAGTATAAGAACTGATTGTTTTATTTACCTGCTTTATGTGGTTAAAAATAAATTAATAAGACTTCATTATAAATTTAAAAATAATGTATACACCTACATTATGAATTAGGTTCCACTATAAAATTTTGTGAGTGTTTCTCCACTGTGATGGAGCAGATTTCTATTAACTTTGTGCCCAGTGCTAGCAAATATTTTGTGTAAAGAGCTCAAAATGTTTGTTAATTGAATGAATTGTGTATCATGAAAGCTTTTTTACCCAATGTATTGATCTCTTTCTATTATCCAATGTATTGATCTCTTTCTTTCTTTCTTTTTTTTTTTTTTTTTGAGACGGAGTTTCGCTCTTGTTACCCAGGCTGGAATGCAATGGCGCAATCTCGGCTCACCGCAACCTCCGCCTCCTGGGTTCAGGCAATTCTTCTGCCTCAGCCTCCTGAGTAGCTGGGATTACAGGCACACACCACCATGCCCAGCTAATTTTTTGTATTTTTAGTAGAGACGGGGTTTCACCATGTTGACCAGGATGGTCTCGATCTCTTGACCTCGTGATCCACCCGCCTTGGCCTCCCAAAGTGCTGGGATTACAGGCGTGAGCCACCGCGCCTGGCCCTGATCTCTTTCTATTATCACAAAATATAATGATTCAACTGACCCATTGTGATCCAAATGATTAAGATAATTAAAAGTAAAGGATAGATTAATTCCCTTTTAACAAATTATTATTATTTTAGCATATGAAATCAGTTTTTAAAAGGTGATAAAAACAAGCTTAAAATAGAGAAGGCACTGCCACATGCTGGTCCTAACAATCCAAAGCTAAATTGAGCACATAAAACAAAATAATATCTTTTCATATATCTTCCTTCTTTCAAAAATTTTTATTCAAGTTAATATCAGGTAGTTTCTGACAAAATGTCTAATAAAAATGAACATTAAAAACATGCTGCATACTATGTTTATCATTTTTAAAACAGACTTGTTCAAAATGGGCATGGTTGACAGCTATTTCTATTTCCATTTGTAGGAAATACCTGTAGAAATAGGGACACATAGTTACCTACACACTTTAAGGAATCCACCTCAGCATGGCAAAAATACTAATTGCACCTCAAAGCACTGTTGTGAATAAGTGATGATTAGTTTTATGAAAAGAGTTAAACTGGGGCCAGATGCAGTGGCTCATGACTATAATCCCAGCACTTTGGGAGGCCGAGGTGGGCAGATCACCTGAGGTCAGGAGTTTGAGACCAGCCTGGCCAACATGGTAAAATCCTCTCTCTTCTAAAAATACAAAAATTAGTTGGGCATGGTGGCACACACCTGTAATCCCAGCTACTCAGGAGGCTGAGGCAGGAAAATCTCTTGAACCTGGGAGGCGGAGATTGCAGTGAGCCGAGATCACACCACTGCACTCCATCCAGCCTGGGCAACAGAGTGAGACTCTGTCTTAAAAAAAAAAAAAAAAAAAAAAAAAAGTTAAACTATATAGTCCATGATGTTTCTTAGTTTTCCTTAGAACACAGAGTTAAATTTAATGTTTGGGGTAATAACCATCTTACCCAAGAAGATCGGTAAAATTAATTTTCTTTCTGTCTTACATACACTGTTTGTTATTCCTCTTTCCAATTAACAAAAAAATTCTGTTCAATGTGTGGTTTATAAGGATTTAATTGCATCCTTTTAGAAAGAGTTGACAGTAAAAATTACAGATAAATAAATACATTTATCTCCTTGAGTCATTCTGTAAAATGCCAGTGAAAACAATTTTAGAATGAGTTTAAAAGTGAAAGAAATTTTAACCTATTGCCTGATTAATCATTGTCTTCAGTGAAGTATAAAATTTATTTGCTGTTTTATGGAATTGCCAGCAACAGTACTTTTGAGAAAAGATGTCATTTATATATTTTCACAATGTCAAAATATTCAATTATTTCTCCTACGTTGTGTCGTCACCTTCTTCCTGCAATGCCCAAACAGACTTAGAGTATTTCCAGTTTCACTTTTGACAGGTGCTGGGATTCTTAGACTTTGATACAGAGGTATTGAAAATAGTTCCTCTTAATGGCGCTCTCATTTCCACATGAGACGTTATCTTAAAAGATGATTTTCCCTCCTATAGAAAATGTATGATCATCTACCCTCTGAGCAGTTATGGTGTCAGAACTAAAATTGTGTAAGCAGGAGCCTGGTGGAGAACAGACAAGGAGAGAGAAGGTGTTTAATTTGACTGCCTTTCATCATGGGCATTTGGGATCCTCATTCTTCTAGGGCTAATTCATTTCATCTGACCACAGACCAGTGGTGCAACCCAGGGCTCCTTTACTGCTCATCTGATGGCAGTTTCTGAATAATTCTATTGCTGAGTTATGCTGCAGAAGGTTCAATCTTTGAAGCAATAGTTGCTGTTTCTGAATCATTTTAAAGAAGAAGCTGCTTGCTGCAGAGTAAGGAATTTTAGGTGGTAAGAGATAGTATCAGAATAATTTTCTTAAAAATAAATGCTATGTCACCCCTTGTGTTTCTTTGTCAAATTATCAATCATGCTACAAACATTTAAATTAAGATGAGTGAAAAACGCTTATTTTGAGTATACTTAATTTGGTCCTGATGAAGACAGAGGTCAACTTTTCTGTGTGATCAAACTCCAACTTTCTGCTTAACTTCATGGGAAGTTGTGGGTCAAACTACGATAAATGTCCTATATTTTTTTGTGGAGATGACCTGACCCTTCTAGAAAATCTAGTCTATTTCAATTAAAATTAAAGAGCACTGAAAACCAAATCAAAACTTTCAAATCCTGGAAGAGACATGCTGGTTATTATATTTAGCTTATTTCTGAAATTATTCTGGTAGGACATAGATCACAAAAGCAAGATAAGACTTCTGAGATCTAGAAAGTTTTGCATACACATATTGTGTGGTGAATCTCCACACTCTATGTGATGAAATAATTTCTGTTGGGCAGGATTACTTAAAAACTGCTTGCTAAGGTTGACCTTTGCTGCTTGCCTCACAGACTGTAGGGACAGTTTCCTCTGATCCCCCAGAAACAATTACACCTTGCTTGGCATCCTAGCCTTTCTCAATTCTAAGCATTTTGCTAGGCTTGGTTTGCCTGAGAAAATTATTTTTTGGGCATCTCATCACCCATCTTCATAGGGAAATAGGAACAGAGATACAGACAACCTTTTCTTCAGCCTTTCTGAGTTGAGTTAGTCTTCATTCCCAAACCAAGTTTATAGAAAAAGAGCCATATTCTTTAAAATAATAGTAATAGTAATAGTAATAGTTTGTTTTAGTTTCTGGCCCTTATTTCCCCTACTTCTATAGAAATCTGTATATTAGAATTCTCTGGTGAGATTACAATGTTTTTTATAATGACCTGACTCATGTTTTTCATACTGATCATTTATTGACTTTTATCCTTAGCAACATGTTGTCTGTTTGAGTGTGAATTTGTGTGTGTACAAGTGCAAATGTATTTATTTAATCTTGAGTCTTATGATGAAAGCAAAAGAGCTCAAGGTACAGTTATAAATTAAATGAAATATGGATAAGGACAAAAAAGAAAAAAGAATAAATGGAAAAATATAGTTATAGCTAATATAGAAGCTAGATGCATTTTCAAATTTTATTTTTTCAATAGATGCATTTTAGTACAAAGCACAAAACTGAATTACACCTGAAAAATCTGTCTTCTTTGGAATCAGAAATAAAACTAGAATATATTTGTAACTCTGCACCTAAGAGCACAGTGAGATGGGCAGAGAAACAGACACAGTGTAAATTGTTTAGGTAGAAAACCCTGGTACTTGAAAATGACAGCAAAAAAAAGACAACACTGATTTCATTATTGAAATATAAATTTAATCTACATGTCAAATAAATACAATTTTCTTTTTTCGTGAGACAGGGTCTTATGTGGTTACCCCAGGCTGAAGTGCAGTGGTGTGATCTCAGCCCACTGCCACCTCCACCTCGTGGGCTGAAGTGATCCTCCCACCTCAGCCTCCTGAGTAGCTGGGACAACAGGTACCTGCCACCATACTCAGCTAATTTTTTATTTTTAGTAGAGACGGGGTTTCCCCATGGTGGTCAGGCTGGTCTCAATCTCCTGGTCTCAAGTGATCTGCCCACCTAGGCCTCCAAAAGTGCTGGGATTACAGATGTGAGTCACTGCACCTAGCCCTAAATACAATTTTAAATGAACTGCAGAAATATGGTTGCCAGATAAAATATATACCCAGCTAAATTTGAATTTCAGAGAAAACAATGAATAATTTTTTTTGGTATAAGTATGTTCCATATATGGCATGAGACATATATTACATGAGACATACTGCTATTAAAAATTATTTGATACTTCTGGAACCTATTCATATAAAAAATTATTCATTGTTTATCTGAAGTTCAATTTAACTAGGAATTCTATATTTTTATTTGCTAAATCTGGTCATCCTATGTAGGGAAACTTTATATATGTCCCTGGTAACCATATTAAAATAAAAACACAATAGTAACATCTACTGCAGGTAATATCCATTTGATTCAGAAAAAAAGCCCGGAAAATATTTACTATTTCCTTTAACGTCAGGAGACTTGATTTTG